TTATCTGCCGCGATAGGTCCGTCGTTTCTGAATACGAATCACTGTCTCCATTTCGCAAAGTACCGTCGCGTTCACTTATCCGCATAAACAAACATGCGACGAATTGCGTTTTATATACCTAACCGAAACCCGCGGGAAAGAGCCGCACTCGGTAATAAAATTGCAAGAGACCAGAATCGATCACTAAACAACACGCGATTATGCATTCGCGAAGATTTATTATTCCGTCGCGCATACACTCGCCCTCACGTATTATCCTCCTCGCTCATCCGCGCCCATTAATCATCAAACGGGAGAAACTTCCGGATTGTTCTGCGTTAGATTGACCGACAAATTAAAACTCAGTCACTAGTTTAGAATTTAGGACGTGTATCGCTACACGTGTATCGCTGCACGCGCACATTTATTAATAACATACATTTTCAGTTTTTAACGATGTTCCTAAATTTTCAACTTTGTGGTTAATTACGTGCGGACTTAACGGTCTTGCGACAATGGGAGATTTCTCAATAAAATGGTCCTAAAACGATACTAAAAGACTCGTTTTGTGCCATGTTACGCAACGATAGTTCTTTTTTAGATGACACTTTAAACGTTTAAGAACATTATATAAACTAAAATTACTGATGGTAAATAAAGGGGTGGGGAAAAAAGTAGCACGGAACACGGATTAAAAATTGAAACAGGCTATAAAGATATAAGATCTGCCATCTCAGCTTAGCAATTTATTAAAAAATCGATATAGAACTTTTTAAAGGTAAGAATCCTATATAATCTGGTCTCTTGACTCGGTATAATCTATTAAGAAGCCATCTAAAACGGGAGAAAATGTTCTCTTACCATCGCGTTTTCCGAATAAGATTATCATTTCGACTTTTATGCCTCATTGAAACGCCGCGCCTGCTCTGACTTACCTCGAACTTATTATCTCTATATTTAGCTCGAAGCATTTGTAATTTATATTAGAAACGTGAGGTAATAACGTACCGGAAATACAATCGCTAGCGAGTATCCAATAAATTCTTGTAAATACCTATGTAACGCGTGCAATCACGTATATATGAAAGCGAGTGGAGGAATTCTGAATGAAATTCCCCGTTCACCATATTTGCGGAATCGATGTGTGTTGTGTTCGAAAGGACGGCGGTTTATGAAGACGAGATTTTATCGGAATTTAGGGTTTTAATGGGAATTACTTGCATTCCGCTGTAGCTAGTTATGCGGTAACCTACAAATTACTGCATAACTATTTCGAAACAAGTCGGACTATAATATCAGCAGTTGTCGAAAGGTGAAGTTTATAAATGTCAATTACTGAATTTTAATATTATCCGTAGCATAATATCAACGCAAGAGGCTTATTTGATTGGATCAACAGTCAAAATTATCGTTGTTAATTTTAGAGAGTTTAGAAATGTTTAAGAAAGTCTAAGCTGATTCAACGCTTAGCCTGGACAATTTCGTCAATGTGTACCATGATGTTTTATGGTTTGGATCCCGAATTTAAATTGTAGGCTAGCGACTATTAATAGTCGACGCTGTAAAATTCAACAACGGCGAACGAGGTCGCCTTTTCCCTTCGTCGCGAGACGAAGGCAGACTATGCTAGGCGATTGAAGCAGCCACGTCTCGGCAAATCGTATCGACGTAGTCATCTACTGGGAGATACGCTAATGGTCGATAATGGAACTGCCGTGGCACCGTCAAAATCAAATTATGCCACCCGGCAACTGCTTGTTGCTGGTGATCCACGAAACAATATGTGGCGGAAAATACGCGTTTTCTGGCGTCGCTGAATGCCAGATGGTGATGCGAGTCAACGAGAGCATTCCTTGTATTTTATATCAAAAAGAGTGTTATTATATTGTATATAAATACGCAATATTCTCCCTTCCTAAGCTTATAATTTTATCTATCTTATCTTATGCAGCTTATAATATTATCTATATTATCTATACAGCAAAATAGTTCTCCAACTCGCTTATAAAAAGATCGTGCGACAGTGTGTAAGTTTCTTACATTGAAAGTTTTAAGATTCAGATATTTGTTCAACCATTCACCTCGAAAATATCAAATTCCAAATGCATAAAATCGTAAGAATGTCCTTGCGCGTAAGAAATCCGGCCTATGTCTATTTCACTGAAACTGAAAGATTACTATCAACGTCACCGCAACCGCATACGAGTCGTTCAACATTCAAGCAGGACATGTGACCTTTTGCGTGTTCACGATGTCCTTGACTATCTAATTTAACTTATGTTACATGTCGATATTTATATGATATTACAATGCTAATGCTAATGACAGGTGACCTGAAGCGTACCGCTAAAGATAATATCGTTCACACTATACGTGCTTGATGTAAATACGAGATTTGCTTGGTATCGTTTCACACGATATGCAAGTCATGTTTCCGATGGAACTGTAGAATAAAATGACTGAAATAATGATCAAGCAGCATAAGCAACTTTGCAGCAGGCAAATATGTTTAAAAGAGATTTAGATAAATTATATTTATTATCGAAAAAATTATGTTTATTAAATTTATTCAGCTATTCGCATTAAAATCCTAACATCATGATACTTTAAAAATTATTACTCTCTACACTTACTTTTTTATTGGAATAAGTTCAGTTTTTTTTTTAAACACTTATTAAATTGTCCGAAGCATAAAATAGAAGTTTATGTAATTAATACAGTGTTGAGTATATTATAGTAATTAAGATAATGCTTAACTCTTTGAAGCATATATTTTTTCTTTCAGCGGACTTTTATGAAACTTAATGCTCAAGGGTTTTTTGGATCGCTAATTACGAATCTGGAGTCAGAATTACAAAATTGAAAATGGCAGATAAAATTCAAAATGGCGGATAAAATTACAAAAGCAATCAATTTCTATGCGCCATTAAATCCGCCATTTTGAATTTTGTAATTCTGCCCTCATATTTGTAATCAGCGACCTGAAAAACTCCTGAGTACCAAGTTTCTTGTAAATCGGATACATTTTTTGCAATTTGGATATTGATTCCGCCATTTTGGATTTCAAAATATTAATTTTGACTTTACATTCAAAATCAGCAATTTCAAAAACCCCCGAATACCTGGTTTCGGAATGTCATTTATAGGAAAAATTTTTTGACTGCAGAACATTTTTTACAGGAAGCAAACAATTTTTTTATTAAAACTTTAGCATTGAGCTGCCATCCTAAGTTAACTGTTGAGAATTTTCGAATTTCGACTTCAGATTTAGAATTAGCGACCCAAAAGACTCCTAGATATGGAGTAAAAATTTAATTCTGATATTGCAAAAATATTCAAATACTTAACAAGATATAATAATACATATATTTAGTAAAGAATGTAAGTTACAGAAGAAGATCTTAACTGGCCGACGGACGAACGAGAATAATTCTCTGGAGCCGTGCTCAATTCGCCGATCTTATTTTCAATTTTCGCTATCATTTAGCACGTCTCTCAAATCGAGGGTCATCTGTTGTTTGCAATTGCGTGATCTGTCGTTAATGTTTCGAAACTCAATTCAACGTCCAAACGTGAACGATCTTGTAAATATCTCGCGCTTGTAATATTTCACTTCTACAATATATACATTATTAATAAAATGATAATATAAGCTTATTGTTAGTAATTTGTTGAGTAACCTTTTCGTTTAATAATATATATACTGCAAACGTTTCGGTATGTTAGAGATAATTTTTGTTGAAACAATCCGGTGTAATACACCTTCACTTCTCTTTTAATCGTAATTTTAGTTTCTTTTGATCTTACAGATGCAGTCCAAATGTTAGGATCCAATAAATCTCATAAATTTTCTAGATTTAAATCTGGTGACTGTAGTAGATGTGTTACTTTTGAGCAATTATATAATAAATATTCTTACACTATTTGCGATTTATATTTTGGATCATTATCTTGATAAAGTTTGAAACTGTCTCGTTTATTCTTACTATATTAGCACTTTTTATTGTCTTTTAGAATAATTAAATATTTAATTTTATCCAAAATTCCATTGCGATGAAAATTAATTTGTCTGCTCTTGAAATACAACTCCAAGCCATTAAACTTCCGCCATCGTGTATCATGGTTACCCTCAAATTTTTTACGTTCTTTGTTTATTTTACGTCATGTTCATTTTCCGTCCATCCAAAAATGTTAAATTTACTCTCAGTATCATTCTACTCCATGTGTGCTCTTTAGAAATAAACTTCTTAGCAAAAATTAATCTTTTTTTTCCGATTCAACTTATTTATGAATGGCTTTTTACGAGCAATTCTATTGTTGTAATAAACTTTTTTCAACGCTCGGCGAACTGTATCAGTGTGTAACTTTTTGTCAGTCTCTTCATATAATTCTGTAGTCAACTTAATTCAGAATTTTCTCTTTTATTTTTCTAACAATTTTACTCCCATATAAGTCAAACAATTTTAGACGTTCTTTCTGAGGTATCGATTCAATACGATTATTTTTTCATAATGTGATACTCTTATTCAAATTTAATAATAAATTACCGATTTCTTAATACGATTTGTCTTTTTCGTAATAATAAATAACAAGCTGGCGTTTATAAAATAAACTATTTCTGCCTTGCATTTTCCATTCTCATCCTTAATTCGTGTGAATACTCAAATAAAACGTAATAAGTTACACATCTTGTGTTTATAAACAAGTATATAAAAAATTATCTAATCGATTTCTCAAGATCACTAAATGAGTATGAGTGAATATTTTTGCGACCCCAGAATTAAGCATTAGCTTATTTACCTACTATTTTTTTACATTAAAAACAACTATATTACTTAAATAAATCAAATTAATGTTTTCAAAAAGCTATATAATGAACGTTTTCAGTTACTAAAAAATTGTAAACTCCTTAATCCAACAAAAACTATTTAAAGAATGATAATTTAGATCACTATTTTTTTCATGATGTTCAAATATTAATGCAAATATATAACTGTATATGGCCTTTATATTTTTCAGTCAGAACCGCCATTATGACATTGCAAAAAAGAATCCGGAGACCCAACGAAGTCGACAAATTCACTTGAACTGGATTTTTCTCTTCGCTTAAGAAGAAATCCCGAACGAAAGGAAGAAAATAAAGCATACGGGAGGAAGAAGAGGAATGGGCCCTTGGGCCTTTGGCGTATTTCTCATCCTCGTATCAACTCTGGGTCTTCTCCTGAATGGCTACGTTCTCCTTGTCGTTCTCAGTCTTAATAAACAGGTGAATAACAACGACAAGATATCTATAACAACTACAAAATACTGTTTCTCCTACTTCTTTCTATTTCTCTACTATCATATGTTTTCTGATCGTGTCTTTGACGCTCTCTCCGTAAATCAGTCCATAGTTTACAATTAAATGCGACATGTTCTAAATATTTTCAAAAAAATCTGTCGCAAATTCGCACGATTTATTTGAGCAATTATCTCAATCACTCACGTCAAAGACTTCAACAGACCGCTTTTTCAAATGTCATAAAGCGTGAACTTTCCTGACATTCCTTTTTTTTTATTAAAGAGTTCGTGATGTTAACAGATATCCATTAAAAGCGTATCTGGGTTGTTTACTACAAGTTGCAAAAAGAGAAAGAAAAGAAAAAATAAACTCTTCGAAAAAGACGTATACACGCATAGTATGCTCGATTATTTACTCAAATTTATTTATCAGGATAAAGATGCAAATTATGATTTCGTTTTACAACAAACGGTAGCACGGATGCGCAAGGATTTACTTATTTCCCTCTACTCGTTTCCAACTTTCCGAGATACCGTCGAATACTCTCTTTCAAGCGCATAAAAGAGAGAGAGAGAGAGAGAGAGAGAGAGAGAGAGAGAGAGAGAGAGAGGTCTGAGAAAGGCAGAGAGAACAAAACTCTTAAATAATTCAGAATCTTAAATAATAAACCCGAGGTATGCAATCCCTTGCAGACCTGTTAAAAGTTTAAATTACAAAATTCCGCCGAGTATTGAGACTCGTGCCGCCGAAAGTCATGATAACGCAGAGCCGAATTGGGCGAATTAACAAATCACACAATGCCCGCAGACGCAGCAGCAGCAGACGTCGAATACTTTACTGCTGATCCACTTGGGCGCCGTGGAAGCAGCGGTGTGCCTGATACTGCTGATTTTCGCAACCGGCTCGTGGCCGGTCGCAGGTACGTGGTGCGTCCTTCACGGATTTCTACTGGCGTTGTTACACCCGGTTGCTCTGTGGACCGTCACCGGATTAAACTGCGACAGGTGAGTCTCACATCCTGTCTTCTTAGGCTACTGCGTTCGCTTTGGACGCTTCTGTGTTAAGAGCATTATTTTATCTTTATTGCTCATTAAATGTTAAGGCTCCTGGGTACTCGTCGCGGCCATGTTAGAATGTGACGTCAAAAGCAAGAAATGACACGTTGAAAATTCTTGCATGGTATTTCTAAATAAAAAGATTTTTTTTTTAAATAACACTACAGATCACTTCAGCACATTTCAAAAATACTCCGAGTTGCATCCCTTTTCCCTTGACAGTTATTACTTAAACATCCGTAAAACGAATGTGATACGATGCAGGCTTATGCGCAGGCGCATGACTAGGTTTCGTATTACATTCATTTTACGGCTGTTTATTAACTGTCAAGGGAAAAGGACTTAACTTAAACTCGGAGTATTTTCGAAGTGTACTGAAGTGATCTGTAGTGTTATTTTAAGCAAATATCTTTTTATTTGGAAATAATATGCAAAAATTCCCAACGTGTCAATTCTCAACATTTCTCGCTTCTGACGTCACATCTCACGAGATGTCGGAAAAAAACCCAGGAGCCTTAAAGAAAAATAGAATGATACTTTCAGCACGAAAGAGTCTAACGTGAACGCAGTTCTAATATCATTATTTAATATTCGGATACGAAGACGTATTGAGCACGATTTGAAGACTTCTGGACGAATGAAGATCAGTATCGGCTTTCCGTTTAATTCGTTGCTCACACCGAAGCGTACAACACAGCTGACTATGCAATAAATGGTAATCGATACATCAGGACTTGTAAATGCATGAAATGCATGCAAAGGATGTCTGTTAATCATTATGCTCCGGTCAATCGCGCGTAATATCACGTTTTATACAATGCGCATTTGAAATACTTGCTTTCGAACGTGATGTTTCCGATCGAAATACTTAGCATCACCATTATTCTCGCGATACCACTTAGGTATTGGTAATTACTCCTAAAGAATTTTTTATATTATTGAAAATATAGACAACATGCACATTTCAAATTACGGTGCGTCCAATATAAAATACCATTAAACAGAATTGCCGAGGAAAGGAAGAACGTCATTGTTGCTTGAGTAAACTGAGAATGAAGAGTCTGAGAGACTCGAAAAGGAGTTCCTCCTACGGAAAATCTTTCGATAAAAATCTCGATAGATGGCGAGCAATATGAACGAGGCATCGGTTTCATCCGATACAAAAGACAACGAGATATCCAATGTAGGATGTCAAATAAGAATTTCACAGGTTCAAACAGTATCACCATAGCTGTCAGATGATATGATACGCTCGTTCGATACAGTCTGTATTTCAGAATCGCCTAGTTGTTCCGTTTCTACTTGTTGCTTATCCTCTCGCCGCAAACTCGTATTAACTGTCACGCAATTTTTGAAATACACGGCGAATCTAGATTGCGTCGAATAATTTTACCCGATAATTTTATTTGATGTAAATATTGTACTCGAGTACATCGTTTGAGAGAGCGGTTTTTGAAAATTCTGTTGAGATTTCGTATTCTTCCTTCTGTACGCGAATCTCCGTGAATTTCATCGCATTGCGCGAAACCTTTTAAGAAAATAGTGAAAATACGGAAGACACACCCGAGAATGTAGAAAACTTCTTTCCTTCTTCTCCTCCACAAAAGGCACTGCCAGGCCCTGTGGATCGATCAACCACAGAATATTTTATTCAGCGATTTAAAGAGATTTAACTTCCTCGAGGATCACATCCGGATTTCCTCGGCCCGGAAAGCATTGCATTTTTGTCAGTTTTTTTCATCTAGCGCTGACGTGATACACATCTCGCATGTATCGCCGAACATATCATTTAACCCGATTAAGTGACAAGCCGGAACTAATGAGTCCGTTCGTGAAATCGTTAGAGTTAAACGCTCGGCCGTGGGTGAAACTCATCCCGCGCCAGCATATTAAATTGTGTCTCGCAGATTTCCATCAACCATGCCTCGCTATTACTCTGTGCAGGTATTACGCGATCGCCGCACCGCTGCACTACGCCGCCTTGGTCTCTCCGCGCCGCGTGATCGTCGGGTTGGCTGCCTCTTGGACGGGCGCTCTACTCCTGTGCTTGCCGCCGTTCTCGGGTCTAGTGCCACCTTATAAGTTTGTATATACGTGTTACCATTAATGTACCATTAACCACCACACCAACACCGATGAATCGACCGTCGCATTCCGTAACTTTGCTCGCACGTTCTACAACATTGCCTCGCAATTGCTGCATTTCCTCGCACAATGAACGAGATTCGATTTACTCTGTGTTCTGTCTCTTTGTCAAAGTAAGTTGTTTCGCGTTGCATAAAGGCACGCGATCTGCGAGACAATTTCCGCGCTAGCTTCTCGCAAAGCGCGCCTGAAAGAATTCTCATTCCGAGCGAAGCTTTTGTCGGCGGTGAGTTAGTTAAGTTAAAGAGAACGAATTGTAACAATACGACTGCGAACTGTTTCAATGAACCCTTGTCTTGTTTTATTTACTTTCAATCGTACGCTTAATACGAACGCAAAATCGCCACGTGTCACAACGAGATCACGCTCATTAAATCGATTCTTTCTTTTTCTCTCTTTTCCAATATCCTATCTATATCGATCAGGTATAGCCCAGGGTTGGGTTGCTGCGCCCCGGATTTCGGGAACGGATCCGCCGCGGCGCTCTACGGTGCCGTTTACGCCATCCTGGGCCTGGGACTGCCGGCCGTTCTCGTGACGGTCTGCAATTTACGCGTGCTGGGTATAGCGCGGTACCATCGGCACCGTATCGCCAGCGCGATCTACGAGGTCACTCTAAGCGCCCAGGTGACCATCACCCATCAGCGAAATCCATTTTTTGTGCCAACTGTCACCGCACCCTCCGCCGGCGGGCCGCCGCGTTTTCACAGTGCTGCCAGCACGGTTCGTACAAACGTTTTTGTATAGAATTTACAAAATCGCAACACTAAACACGGCAAACTGACCAACTCTTTCAGGATGGGTGACCCCTATAAGGACCAGACCTTTTATTTCAGAAACTATTAATCTGATTTTGGTAAATATTTAAGTATTAGGGAATAAATAAACAGCTATACGAATCAGGCGCGGTACGTGGTGCGCAAGTAAAGAAATTAATAGTTACAGAAGTATTACGTCCAGTTGACTCCACAATTTCTTTCTTTCGAGGAATCACTCATTTTATCACACGAAATAGACGGAAACCATAAAATAGCGGTTATCAATTGACGAAGCGGATGCACTCCAACTGTCATCGCTCATTAAAGAGTAAAATAACGAAACCTTCCAGAAGATTCGAGCCTAATAAAATAGGCAAATTATAGACTTGTTTGTTGCATTCCATGAAATTCCACGAAATAAAGCACGAAATTTCAATTATCTCGAAATTTCGTGGCATAGGTCGCAATAAATTAAAAATGCCATAAGGATCTAGGTGACCTTTCGGGTCACGGGCGAATTGATCTTACGCTTTTCCGTGAAACGCGGATTTGACCTAAGACCCACGCCTCGCGGCGATTAATAAAGTTAAGCTTCTGGAAGGGACTGTCAAAGGGCAAGGTGATAACGTACTCGCCAATGAATAACTGCTAATTAGAAATTGCTCATAGGCAATGACGATTTTTGGGGAAACTCGCCAGGGGATAAGCGGAAAATCAAAACCTACGTCGCGATCGGAAGAGAACTCCACCAATTAGATTAAAAAGTAATCCCGCCTCTTTAATTTTGTATAAAAATTTCGACTTTGCGCACTTGGAGTCACTTCTGATCCAGCTCAAAACAGTCTACCTTTGAAGCCGTATTTATCAATCAATTCATCAGTCAGCCGTACTCCTCACTTAAACTAAAAGAACAGATTTCTGTTGCGTCGCGACTTAAGAATCGCGAGTCAATTCTGTGCGCGCTAAGTGCCACGAATCACCCCTCACTATTACCTCTCTAAATCGCACAAGGTCCGATCTCCGGTAATAGGGATATTATATCCTTGACCGAAAACAGGACCGCGAACGCACGAAACTCTCAGTAGTTCTGGACGTTGATCCACGACTGGAGTTTTCCCGAAAAGTGCATTCGACTCGAGGCACGCGCCCTTCTAGCGTGAACCCGAAATAACATAAGATTTCGTTATGTCTTCTCATACCCCCTCCCTTGGATGGCCTTTCGCTATCCTTCAAACCAATATTCGTAAATTCCGGGATTCTAACGTAACAGAAGTAACGAATTACATTGTATATAATATACATATACATAATATTCTAACTTAATAAACTGCGCGCCGATTTATTTATCGGACTTGAAACACAACTATCGTTGGAACATTAATACGCTTTCCTCCCCGGAATTAAATCAACGCAATTTAATTATTTAAAAAAACTGTAAAGAATTTATTGCGAGAAATATTACTTCAGCCAGGATTAAAACCTGAAACCTCCCTCATTCCGTGAAGGGCGTCGTACCAATTCGACTACCAAGGCATGTGGTAATATTTATCGCAATAACCGGTTAATAATAGTTAAAAACGCATGTTTCAGCCTGCGTATAGCTGACCGCGCCTGACTCGTATAGCTGTTTATTAATTTGTCGACATTTTTACGAGTCTAATGACATATTTAAGTATTAGGGATTTTCGTAAACGGATTGATCAACTGTAAGTGCTTCCTATTTAAAAATTATTATAGCCTCAACATTTTCGCATAAGAAGTTTCGTCTTAAAATGTTCTACAGAATCTATTAGTAAAACGATGTCTAGTTATTTTAGGACACCCTGTATATAAGCATTCTATTTAAATAATTTAATTTATTTATGCAAAAAAATAATAATTAAATACTAATTTAATTTATGCGAAAAATATTATCTCAGCCAGGGTTACATTTTTTTAAGGTGGTCCTTTCGTGAGAACAAGTATTAGATAGGTACCTAAATTTGATATATGTTAAATATACAGTAATAAGGGGCATGTGTACGAAAAATTAAGTAAGGTTACCGACACTTTACAAGAAATAAGTCATTCTAAGGCTGGATTCGGGGAGCGCGCTATTAGCGCTATTTGCTTGTTCTATCCTTGTTTTACACCTGATGAGCGATAAAGACAGAATGATGCAATAGCGCTAATAGCGCGCTCTTCGAATGCAGCCTAAATGTGCGTTCGCGGAGCGTGCCATTGTCATTCTATCCTTGTTTACATCTAATGAACGAGAAAGATAGAATGATGCAAATCGCCATGTCCGAGGTTTTCAACGAATAATACATGTACTTAGCGATCAGATGAATACATTATTCATGTCTTAAAATATTCCCTGAAGTTTCCGGATTTCGTATATACCTTGAAAATAAGGGCTTGCCGAATGTTTTGCTCTGATATATGAGGTTAAATAAGTAGTGGTCCAATCGCATATTGCTTTACTCGTACTGTCATGCCTGACCTAACCTAAATCGAGTCCAACCGCACTACTATTGTGATATTTTTTTAATTAGTAAATAATTAAATACGATTAAATCGTGCGTGTAAAATCATATTATATTATTATAATTATTGGGATGTTGTGTAATGTTTGTCAATATGTTTGTTTTCAATTACCTCATGACGGACTGTTACTTGACTAGCTGGGTCCGCGAAAGGACCACCTTAAGTAGACTTAAATTTTTAAATAATGCAATTTACGTGAAACTCACTTTATATAGGTTAATTCTTTTAACGAGCCGAGGTTAGAATCGAAGACCTCAAAAACCTATATAAAATGAGAGTTTCATATAAATTACATTATTTAAAAATTTAAGCACGCCATATTGATTTTGTGGTGCAAAGGCACCACGATCGCCAGAATAGAAAAACCATTTTGCCATTAATTCATGTCATTAACTCGAATATACATATAACAAGTTAAACGTATTTCGTTCTGAATAGATCTGTTATTTCGAATTTTGTAATTTTAAGGTTATATTCTAATTTTAAAAACTCAAAAATTTATATAAAGTAAGTTTCACGCAAATTGCGTCACTATTTGAATATTAATTAGGTCCGCCTTATTAGATGTTAAAAGTTTAAAATTGTGAGACCACAATCGTAAAGACCTCGGTAAACTTTAAGAAAACTATAGTTTTGATATTTTATTCTCGTTAGAAAGCCCCTGTCATGAAAGGATGAAAAAAATCACACTCTATTTCAGCGTACCAAAACGTCTTCACGATTCCGCGGTCAAAACCAATTCTTCCTTAACAAGAATATAAGCAACTTAGCTTTTGTCGAGTCACTTAATTTAAGCTAATAAGGCTAATAAAAAGCACCCGTAGTTAAAGACTAATCTATAATTTAATTTTCTTGCCCGGAGTTAGCAAGTCAAATCAATAGACGCCACGCTGGGAGGCATCGGCGAAGTGCATACGTACCGAAACTTCCTCTCGCTCGCAGCGTCTCGTGATTATATGGACCACCGTTTAATTTCTATTCGAGGACCCGTTCCAGCAATTTTCGAATATAATTAGTTGAACTTTGATATATTGGCAGATGTATCCGTCCGCGCGCGTTTATCGCTAAATGGAGATAAATAGCCTCGCGCTGCGATCATCAAACGGCCGCTGTCGATTCTCGTATCAGTTTCGCAAACGAAACTTTTCAGGTGATGCAACTGGTCGGCTCTCTGTATCTGCTCTACTTTCCGTATTGCGGACTCATCCTCTGGGAAGCTTGCGACGCCGGTAATCAGCACCGTCTTCACGCGCATCCTAAGCTCGCCTCTTTAGCATCGCTCCTCCTCGCGTGCTCGCCACCCATCAACGGCTTGCTCTACGGCTTGAAATCGCAGACCCTGCGACGATCCGTGCAGAACTACTGGCGGAAAAAGGCAACTAAGTCGGAATTGCAGCAGGTACGAAACGCGAGAAAAGTGAATGCTCGTGAAAAGACGCTCGAGCGCCGAGCGAAGGACAATACTAATTTTTGCAGTTTACGGTTATTATTGCTATGTCCAATTACGTTCGTATATGGTAGCGTATGGGAGCAACTGTGTAAATCGTGTTCCAGGAGATTCAGGCGAGAACGCCGAGCGTCGCGGGCTCGAGAAGACCTTCCGGCAGCGGAAACGCTTCCTTCTTCCCATTCCCGCCTCTACAACGGAGGCTAAGCGAGGCGTTATTGGCCCTCGGCTCGTGCAGGACCGGGGGTAGTTTCAAAAGCAATAATCTGGGGTTCCAGCGTGGCAGATTGCAACCCGCCGCCTCGTGTAATACTCTCAGAGTGCCGACCGCTGAATCAGGTACGCGATCCTTGCCCGCTGATACCATTTTATCGAGATACAACCCGTGCTTCCGTCATATTCAAATAGTTCTTAACTCGTCATAATTCGCAACCGAGAACCGACAGTTCCCTTACACTTTAACGCGAATATATCTTTATGAAAAAGAAAAAAGATTTCTAGTAAAATGAATCGAAAGATCCTTGACGGATAAACTCTTTGATAATGGATAAACGTTCCGACACTGATATGAGCGTCATGTCCTTTCATCATGGCGCGCGAAGGTGAGCCGAGCAAATTGGTGAGGGCGAGCGCGAGTGCCGCCAGTCTGATGGGTCCCCATTATCGGAGCGACTTTATCGGGGCGGATTCGGGCGCGGAATGCTCCATAGCTATGTGCGAGACCCCGAGGAGAAGCCCGAGGATCCTCATAACGCGCGCGTACAGCGAGGAGAGCCAAGACGGAGGCAGCCCCCTTCTGAGAAAACCCCTCAATTCCAATACTAATCCACCGCCGTGCGAAAGTACGTCGCATGCTAACATTTGTAGATAGTGTTTGCTTCAATCGCATTTGCAATTCTAAAATAAAATCGCGACTTATAAAAATTATCACGCCTCTTGTTCCAGTTTCTCCGACGCGGATATTTTTTTTTTTTTCCCTTTCTTCGAAAATCTCGCAGTCTTGCATAATATTATTCTCTCTATAAGCAAGAAAAAATCAAGTAAGTTTTCAACGTAACGTCGCTGAACATGTTCGCCATTAGTTTCATATGGAGATTTGCAAATGAATGGATCGTCCAAGTAACTGAGTTACTTCTAACTGGATTAGCGTCTGACCTTATTTAAGAGAGCTCTCGTTTTATCGCGCGTGCATAGAACGCCGATGGCGACACTGCAGCACCGGAAGTGAGAGCAGCACGGGAAGCAGCGACGCAAGCGTATGGACCACCGGCGTGACACCGAAGTACGGCAAGGGTAACGCGAAGAACTCGGACGGCTGGTCGTCACATACGCGCCACGTACGTGGCAAAAATCTAGAAGAAGGCGCCCTGTCAACCGCGATCAGGCCGAACAATAACAGCGAGAGCAGCGATACCACGGACACGACTACAGCCACGACAACAACTACTACGCTGCTTAAATCTCTCGCCATGGTAAGTGATAAAGTAAATTCGAAATTTTATACAATTGCACAATTATCTTAAATAATTATATAAATATTTAAAAAAAAATGAACGCGTGGTCGCCACGCGCGTTAAAAGTGAAACTTCTGAAGGCAAGGCTTTGCCATAACTTTTCTGAAATTAATACAAAAACAATGGAACGGAATTAGTCACTCCAAGCCGCCCGCAACTCGAAAATATAGTGTTACACGCAGTTCTTACTATATCCGTCTCGCCAGTGCCGTACGCCTGATCGAATTTTTGTGACGCGTTTTTGAGTTGCAAAATCGAATTTACTTACCGATCCAAAAGGAGTTTAACTTTGTACGCCTGTTGGTCGAATTTTCGTGACACTATTTCGTGACGTTTTTTCGTGTCGCACAATCGAACTTACTACCGTACCAAAGAAATTTCATTTCGTACGCCTATTGGTCGAATTTTCGTTACACTTTTCGTGTCGCATAATCGAACTTACTACCATGCCAGAAGAAGAATTGTCTTGCCAACGCCGTACGCCTATTGGTCAAATTTTCGTTACACTTTTCGTGTCGCACAATCGAACTTACTACTGTACTGAAGAAGTTTAATTTCGTACGCCTATTGGTCGAATTTTCGTTACACTTTCCGTGTCGCACAATCGAACTTACTACCATACCAAAGAAGTTTCATTTCGTACGCCTATTGGTCGAATTTTCGTTACACTTTTCGTGTCACACAATCGAACTTACTACCGTACCAAAGAAGTTTCACTTCCGTTACACTTTTTCGTGTCGCGAATCGAACTCACTACCGTGCCTAAAGAAGTTTCACTTCAAAAATAATTTATATATTTTTTTTGACTCAACAAAGTCAAATAGTCTTTTAAGGATTATCGACACGTAACGACAGTTTTAATAGCGATCGTAATGAAAGAGTCAAATAATTATCTTTTTGTATATAATCTCTTCAGTATATAATTCAATTCACACAATTCAATTCTACTTTAAACACAATTAATTACTCGAATGTAGGAGACTGGCGAACAGAATGAAAAAGAGAAGGAGAGGGTGAATGGTAACATGAAGAAAAAAGAGTTCAGCGAGAGCGAAAGCAGTTGGAGTAGCGTCGAAGAAATCGAAACCAAGGCAGAGAGGAACGACGAAGACGACAATCTTGAGAGATCGAAGGAGGGTCCGCAAACGAGACCACCGAGGCGAAAGTTGAAAAGCAGCAATCGCGAACCCGAAGTTTCCGCGGAGGATCATGAAGAGGCTGCGCAGCTGAGGCCACTTCTAACTCCCTCTTCTTAAGCCTACCCTCTTAAATGTATTTTCCTTTGAATAATCCGTTCGTGTATGCGTGTGGTGTGCGCGTGTATGTGAATATATGTATGTGTGCATGTGTGTTGCGAACAAAATAAAATTTCACCGCGTGTATTTAAGCGACACTGATACACATGGCGTTCACAGGAAGTTTCTAAATAAATGAACATACAATCGCGTGACACGTTTATTTCGTGAATTTACAAGAATAAAGTTAGCCGGTGAAGAGTTGCGGTAAAGAGCTACTTTTATAACTTGCATTTACAATATTCGTGTTTGCGACACGAGAGCGAGGAGAAGGTATTCGACAAATAATTTGTCCAAAAATGTACGTTTCGTAGGCTGATCTCTTACGTGTCTTAACGCACTGTAAAAAGTTTGAAGGAAATATGGATTTGTTCTTTGCAGATCCTTACATTCGACATTAATATATATACATCGACATATCCAGAAATTATATTTTTGTACTTTCACTCTGCGACGTTATGTGACGCGACAATGACGTGAGACCATCTTTTGCAACAAAAACCGAAGAACTGATTAATACACCGTTGGCAAACTCGTTTTCGAGAAATTTGTTCGCTCGTCCTGAAGAATTAATCAATGATCGTTTCCGATCAAATACCGATAAAAAGTTTGCGTCAGCGATGAATTCGCGAAAACTCGTTATCTACGAAAGTTCCGGTCCAATTTATCTTTAATTTTCCGAAGCAAGTCATACAGACTCGCAGTGGAGAGTGGAGAACAACGGATGGAAGTCGGACACCCGAGAAAGTTCTTTTGACAGAAAGTGGCAACAACGTCAGAATCAAAGATGTGAATTCCGAGGAATGTTCGAACGGTAAGTTTATCGAGCGCCGAGTTACGCTATTTAGGAAAGAAAAATAAATTAAAAAATGTTTGTGTCTTTTGTAAATGTCAAGTTTCGCTCGATAGTTACAATCGTAGACGTAAATTCCACAACTGTTTTGTGACTGACGTCTACGCGATAATTATTTTTATTAGCAATGTAGATAAAGCTAAAATTAACCGATAGTGTAAGTAGCCATTGGAATTGATCCAAAAAAACTGCTTAGAGCATATGTGTGCGTACAATTCTATGTATACAAATATCTTCGACGTTCTCTCTGGACGTTTGATGACGTGACAAGAACATTTTCGTTCAGGCGAGAGATTGTTATAAACGTGCAAGAGTCGGTGCGTATTCGCGTATTTTGTTTACAATTGATACCTACAAGCTAGATCTCTCATTCCAATCGTATATATTTAATTTATACATGATTCCACCGATATATAATATTTAGGGATAATATTAATATACATTAATATAGATAATTTATATTACATTATATATACAGGGTGTCACCTAATTCGCGCCCACTATTTACACAGCGATATTTTTTATCAAAAATTGAGTTGAAAAGTCCTGAGCCATTTTTTTCTATAATGCTCAGTAAAACAGTAATTATTAAGTAAAGTCAATCCAATCAGCACTGTCTTTTAGCCGGGCGTACGTCAGTGAGCCGCGCGCCTGGTAGTGTGCGCTCACTCATACTATCTACTCAGGCGCGCGGGTCACTGACGTACGGGTACGACCGGCTAAAGGACGGCACTGATTGTGAGTGGATTGCCTTTACTCAATAATTACTGCTTTACTATTAAGCATTATAGGGAAAAAATGGTTCAGGACTTTTCGACTAAATTTTTGATAAAGAATATCACTGTGTAAATAGTGGGCGCGAATTAGGTGACACTCTGTACATATAAGTTGATGGCTGTAATGAAGAATTAATAAAGAGCGCACGCTTAACATGGCGTGAATACGGATCACCTTCTGATCGCGGTGTCTACTTAATTTACATAATATTGTTGCTAAATATATACAGTGTTATAGCAACTGCACTTTATTACGTACGCACGAGACTCGATCATTTCCACGCGTATGTTACGACGTCCATACAATCTCGAATTTGCTAGAATTGCAAATCTTTATATACGAGCAGCCGAGCTGCTTGCTGATCCAAGATCGACAGTTAAATTCGCGGCTTGGATATACCGTTTATGAATTACCGTTTTATCGTTGTCAATGATAAAATTTCAGGAACTTTGTCGGGTGTGAATGTTGTATCGATGTTAACATTACAAAAAGTTGCGACATAAACGATGTCTGAGTGTATAAAAAGTTAATGCAAATAAAAAGAATAATTGGAAGTTGTCGAATTCGTAATTTTACTGAATCTTATATGACGTTTGCTTCACCTTTGCAGAAGAATAAATGACATGATTATATTTCTTTCTAATACATGCGTTCGTAACAATGTACGACCCGTAACACGAAAAAAAATGATTTGTTTTGTTTAATTCAGTAAATCTGTAGCTTATTGGAAAAAATTAAACGTTATAAATAAGCAGATTTGTTAAGGAGTCATGCCTAGTTAGAAGTGCATGATTTTCGGGGATTTTTATAAGAAAGTTAATTTATTTTTTCTTACAACAAAAAGTTGACATCAAAAGTACATATATTGAACAACATTCAGAATTTTTTTCGTTGAAAAATATTGCAAATTAAGAAAGTTACGGCTCACTCCTGATTTTTCAGAGGTATTGTGCGGTGACCACGATAACTCCAAGCCAAATCATCTGAAATCAAAAAACCAAAAAGATTCTGTTAGTATATGAATATATCTTGTTCGTGAACGAAGGATTTTTTGAAAAAATAATTTTTAACAAAATGGCGGCCGTTTTAAGGAAAAACGCAATTATTCGGGCTCTTAATTTTTCGTTTTTCTTCAATAAAAAAAAAGTTTTCATTAAAAAAAGAACCCTCTTCGTTCACGAACAAGATATATTCATATACTAACAGAATCTTTTTGGTTTTTTTATTTCAGATGATTTGGCTTGGAGTTATCGTGGTCACCGCACGACACCTCTGAAAAATCAAAAGTGGCCGTAACTTCCTTAATTTGCAATATTTTTCAACGAAAAAAATTTTGAATGTTGTTCAATATTGTACTTTTGATGTCAACTTTTTGTTGTAAGAAAAAATAAATTGACTTTCTTATAAAAATCCCCGAAAATTATGCACTTCCAACTAGGCATGACCCCTTAATGTAGCAAAGAAGTTATGTAATGAAAGCAATCGTCAATTTGTTTATAAAGCAAACCTATATTTGTTGAAATTATCTTTGTTACTGCAAATTATTTTAGCTAAGTGCGGCGCGTAGCTAGTCATCACAATGCCTCACTTCCGCCCACGCAGTTAGGGTAATATTTCATTTGTCGTACGACAAATTTTTTAAGCGTTTTGATTGGCTACAAAATAGAAAATTTCTAGAAACTCGAGAACTTTTCTATTTTGCAACCAGTCAACACGTTTGAAAAATTTGTCGACTTAGTGTGGAGTGTCGAAGGTTGAAGGCCTTTATAGGCACTATTCCTACGCAGTAACGCAGTAAGAGTGAACAATAGACGTTTGACGATCGCGTTGATGCGGGACATCATTCCGTTTCTATTTAACATCCAGTGAGGAACAAAAACAGAATGACGTTCGCGGTCCACGCGATCGCCAAGTGGAACTTGACTCTTTTGCAATGTGCACAGCACGCGGAGACGCTTACCACGCACCAAGAAGTGTCACAATAGCCAATCAACGTGCAGTTTCTCCGTAAGAGGGAAGTAAATAATTAGTAATAGTAGTAAGTAATTAGTAATTTAAGTTCTTCTCATTATTAAGTACTCAGTAAAAAATTCAGTAAAAAATTTTGTAGTAAATTTAACACATCTCACATGTCCCAATTTATCCACTCTAATTTTTATGTTAATTTAACAGAAGGCAAATATGTAAATAAATAACACAGGTAATACGTGAAAAATCAACACGAAATTGTAATACATGGACGCTGTAATATCTGGAAGCAAAGTTTATGTTAAATTAACATGTTAAGACCCGGTCCCACCAACATCGTTAAGAGAGACGGGTTATGGCCTTATAATGTTAAATGTAATTAAAATAAAATGTTGTTCTTACATTAAATGTTATTCTTCCTTCTCTTTTTCTTGCAAAAAAACAGAAGACAGCGATATCTATTTATATTAAATAACATAAGAAAAATGTTGATTTAACAGATAATAACTCTTATAGAGAGGAAAGTAATTTAGGTGTTCATTTTAACATATAAAATATGTCACCAAAAATTCGTGCATTTACACATAAATTGTGTTATTTTTACTCTTAGAAAACGTTGAATAATAACTTAACGCAGAAAAAAGTCAAAATAACACAATGACAATATATGTTACATTAACACCAGTGTATGTCAAAAATATAACACAAAAATTTCTACACGAATAGAAATCTACTCAAATACAAAATGTTTTTTTATGCAACACGTGCATGGAAAGTGCCCCATTACGCACGCTACGCGTGCGTGATAGACCACTTTCCAGGCACTTGCAACATAAAATAGGGAGTGTAAGCCGTGTGTAAAGATGAAAATTCCCGGATGCGGTTACCGCACTCGCCTTCGGCTCGTGCGTAAACTCCGCACCCGGGAATTTTCATCTTACCTCACTTGTTACACAAATAACTATTATCGTATACTTATATTAATATGTAAATATTTATGTGTATTTACATTAGTAATATTATACTATATTACTTATAGTAATTAAGTAATATTATACTATATTACTTATAATATTATAATTTATTATACTATTTGAGTATATGGTTGCGAGTAAATATTTCAGATGTTTTAATGTGCATTGTTGCTTTACTTAACTTCTTTTGCTGGAGTAATTAATAATTTAGCTGTAATGAAATCCGTTAATAAACCAAATTTCCTTTGCTGACACAGCAGTAAAAAGATTAGTTACATATTTTGCTACACATACAGACAAATTAGTGGATCAGACCAATATCACTCGGAAGCATGCGACTCTTGCGTTTATATTAGTTACCCTTAAATAAGGAATCTTATGAATATTGAGACTTGCAAACAATGTGCTGTTTGCAAAGCCAAGTTCTTGCGGACACAAATGGAACTTCCTTTTTTGTAGAAAGGAGAATACAACGACACAATAGTTGCTTTCAATTTACATCAAAACTCAGATAATTCTCACTTGTGACGTTATAACTCAGTTAAATGCACGTTCTTTTTGCATGCTGGCAAGTGAGATTCAACTGAGTTTTTATCCACAATCAAGACCATGTGCTTTAATAAATCTAATAAACTCACATTAAAAGTGAGACTATGGACCTGTATTATTATGCGATAGCTCTGTCACCAAAATAAGCAGGTAAATACAATAAATGACATATCTTACCTGAGTATAAAATACTCACATAACTGAGTGACTCAGATCACTTATTGAGTGTAAATGGAAAGCAACTAATATTCATAGAATACAACACTCGTTCACTTATAGACCACACGTGC